TTGAATCATTATAGAATTATAGTACAGATTCTTAATCTGACTTAACTCACTTTATAGTTTGATTCTTTTAGCAGAGCTAAAAGCTTGACCTTTACATTGCCACCAAGCCAAAAGACTTCATTCCCAGCTTCCCTTGAATCCCAGTGTCATCTTGAGATGAAATCCTATATTGGCAAAAATATGAACGTGAGTCTTCTGAGACACTTCTTCATGGGGGGAGTAGTGGAGCTCATACTGCAATTTTGAACCATGAGCACAAGGGGCACATTCTTAAAATAGCAGAATAGAAGCAGGAAGGAGCCTGGGTCACYGATGACCACGAAGTCCCCACACTAATACTAGATTGCCTATATCCAGGCTTCTCTTATGTGGGGGAGAAACACATGCCTGTCTTAATTAAGCAAATATTTGGAGGGTTTCTATTACTTACAACTGGAATCTAAACGTAACTGGTGGTTGACTCTGTCCAAAATGACCTGGCTTAGGAGATATTGCCCATAAAATGAACTTCCCCCACTACAACATGCACCACGGTTTATATATATAATTCAAGTGGAACAGGCTCTGGGAGGTGGCCTTGTGAGTACCATGGATGCAGGCCAAGTCAGCAGGTCCCCTGAGCAATTGTCCTACTAATGATTGAAGAAACATTGGTTGTATTTTTAAGGGGTCTGGTTAACTCATTCCCTTTGGCCACTTAGGGCTGTGATTTATAGACTGCAAAGTCACTTAGGATAATAAAGCCCCCAGGCCTGGTGGCAAGCTGCTGGGATTTTTCAAGACGAAAGGCACCATTTAGACATCTCAATCAGCTTTTCTCAAGTGAATTRTATCCTAAGGAAACAGATTTCAAATGTGTCTGCATTCCTCACACCCTCAGGAAGAAAGATGAGAGGAATCAAGAAAAAAAAAAATCATCAGGGCTCTGCTCATTTCAAATATCTGACAAGTCGTGAGAGTTCTGGAACTACAACTTCCAGCAGATGTGGGTCCCACTGTCCTTTTCTTCCCTCTCTGTAAAAGTTCTTCGTTGATGGAGAAAAATTGGTTCAAATATCAGTTGATTTGAATGCATCTATTGCATTTCGAGGAAGAATATGTGTCATTTTAAAAAGTAGCTTTTCTTCTGAATGACCATGTCCAACTGTGCTATGGCCTTTCTGTTCAGCTTCTTTTCTTCCTAAGGGGGGGAAAAATCCTAAAAATCTGTGCATAGCCTTTGTCTGCTGAAGAAGCACCATGCTGGCAATGACAGTGCCTCAAAGCAGACTCTTCCCTCGCGTCACAAGCGCAGCAGGAACAAACTTAACCACAGAGACCACACACTTGAAAGCGGGGGTTTAAGAAGGAGATCAGTTGTTTTCCATGTTCAGGRAAAAATAAAAGATGTTCTGAAATAGAAAATARGAAAGAAAAATTTTAAAGCACCCCGTTCTTGGGCAGTAGCATAGATCACCAAGGAAGACCTTGAGTTAAGTAAACATGGAATCTTTGTGGAAAACTAGGTGTGATGGCTAATTTTATGTATCAACTTGACTGGGCTAAGGGGTGCCCAGATAGCTGCTGACATGTTATTTCTGGGTGTGTTTGTGAGGATGTCTCTAAAAGAGATAAGTAGACTGGGTACAGAAGATTGTCCTCATCGATGTGGGGGACAACAGCTAATCTATGAAGGCCTGAATGGAACAAAAAGGTGAGGTAGGGCAGATTTGCTCTCTGCTTGACCTGGGGTATCTATTGCCTCTCTCCCCAGACATTAGCATCCTTGACCTTTGCACTCACACTGGAACTTACTCCTCTGGCTCTTGGGCCTACAGGGTTGGACTAGAGGCATACCCTGGCTCTCCTCAACCTCCATCTTGTAGTTGGTAGATCACCGACTCCTCGCCTCCATCATCATGTAAGCCAACACTCATAATAAATCTTGTTTTATATACATATATATATGTATATATGTATATATCTCCTATATCCTATTAGTTTTGTTTCTCTGGAGAACCATGACTAAAACATGAGCCAAATTAGAAAAGCAAAGCCTATTTGTTTAGAACCCGATATAGCAGGGCCATTTGCCACATTGCTTGCATTTGGCAGCAACTTGAAGACAGGCAGAGGAGTGGGACAGTTTTATAGGAGAGAAGAGAGATGGCTTCTAAGATGTTCTGATGGGAAATTTCTGGCATGGGGCAGCTGTAGGCAGGGCAYTCCAGCAAGAGGTGCATATTTTGCTATCTCTGGTTGGTCCTACGTGGACAAAAGTTAGGGAAGTTATTGGATATTAATCATGTTCTGGCCATTTGGTGCCAATCATTACATAAGTTATTGTTTAGCTTTCTGAATTGTTGCTAGAGACAGCAATTCAGCTTCCTACAAGTCTGACTTCCTGTATTGTTTACTGTAGGTAAGGGGATGGGTTTCCTGGGCAGAATGCTGCAAGCTGTGGTTATATCTCTATTTTTATACATAGGGYAGCGTTTTCTGTTTGTATGATCAGTCTCTCACCTTTCAGACAGATAGACAGCTGTCTCTGGGCAGCTGATCTATAGCCATCAAGGTGATYCCCACCATTTCTGGAGAGACACTTTAGGAGACAGCTAATTCCTGTACACCACCTTGCCTGAGTGTCAAAGGACGCACCTGCTTAAGCGAGAACATCTCTCTTAGCTCAATGTGCCCAGATGGCGAGGAAGGAAGGAGAGCGGAGCAATGGAGCTCTGTGAGAAGGGGGGAAGCGGTGCTCAGTGGTTCTCAGCCAGGCTGTCAGAGCCCCGTGGACAGCTCTGAAAAAAATACAGAAGCTGCAGCTCCCCCCAACACACAACAAGATGCTGATTTAATAAAGCAGGGTTGGGCATCGGCGTCCCTTCAAACTTCCCAGGTGATTCTAAGGTGCATCCCAAATTGACAGCTAATGATCAAAATGAATAACCTTTGAGAGACACTTGGAGCAAATGTTTAGCAATTAGTGAGAATGAAATCARGGCATGCAGCCAGGAAGCCTCCCATTTTTCAGCCTTGTGATGTTGAGCTTTAGGAATATGAAATGCAGACTGAAGCTAATCCAGAGGAGCAAACAGGCAAAGGTCACAGCTTGTGTCCCTGCCTTCACCCAAGGAGAATGCTGCAGCATTGAAACCTCCAGCAGGAGGAACAAATGAGCAGTTCTAAAACTGCTATGCATCAGCTGAGGTGCTACCTCTTCTGAGCAGTGGCCTTTATTTTTATTTTTAAGCATTAATAAAAAAAAMCTCCTTTAAGATGCCAATTTACTATAACATTATTTTTCACTTATCATACATGATATGTACATGTTTAAATAGAATAATCTAATTTTGACTGTATAAACTCTAAAACATCAAAAAATTGCACACTCCCCACACTTTGTATCTATTTTTTATTTCTAGTTGTTTATAAAATTTCCTATGTACCAGTTTATCTGAACTTAATGCAACACCACCCCCTGGTGGACATCTATAGAAAAGTTCTCATATTTGGAAAATTTTWAAAAAGATTACTGACAACAGAATGCGTTACAATTCATATTACACATATAGAGCACTGTTTTTCATATCTCTGGTTGTACACAAAATAGAGTCACATCCTTCGTGTCTCCTTACATGTACTTAGGGTAATGATGACCATCACATTCCACCATCTTTCCTCCCCCATACCCCCTCTCTTCCCCTCCCTCCCCTTTTCCCCTTTGCCCTATCTAGAGTTCATTTAATCCTCCCKCCCATCCCCCCAGCATATTATGAATCAGCATCCTTAAATCAGAGAAAGCATTCGACATTTTTTTGTTTGTTTGTTTTTGGTATTGGCTAATTTCACTTAGCATCATATTCTCCAGCTTCATCCATTTACCTGCAAATGCCATGATTTTATTCTCTTTTAATGCTGAATAATATTTCATTGTGTATATATACCACATTTTCTTTATCCATTCATCTACTAAAGGGCATATAGGTGGGTTCCACAGTTTAGCTATTGTGAATTGTACTGCTATAAATATTGATGTGGCTGTGACCCTATAGTATGCTGTTTTTAAGTCCTTTGGGTATAGACCAAGGAGAGGGATAGCTGGGTCAAATGGTGGTTCCATTCCCAGATTTCCAAGAAATCTCTATACCGCTTTCCATATTGGCTGCACCAATTTGCAGCAATGTATGAGTGTGCCTTTTCCCCACATCCTGGCCACCACTTATTGTTGTTTGTCTTCATAATAGCTACCATTCTGACCGGAATGAGATGAAATCATAGAGTAGTTTTGATTTGCATTTCTCTAATAGCTAGAGATGTTGAACATTTTTTCATATATTTGGTGATTGATTGTATATCACCTCCTGAGAAGTGTCTGTACAGTTCCTTGGCCTGTTTATTGATGGGGTTATTTGTTATTTTGCTAGAGATGTTGAACATTCCTCCAATCACACCCTCCCAGACTACATTACCACCCAGTTAATCCCTATGAGTGAGTTAATCCACCAAGTAGGTTATAGCTTTCATATTCTAATCATTTCACTTCTGAATATTCTTCATTAGCTCACACATGAACTTTTGGGGAATAACTCATAAATATAATACAAGGTATCCAAATGGGAAATGAAGGAGTTAAATTATCCCTGCTTATCCATGGCCTATTATATGCAGAAAACGCAAAACAACTTACCAAAAATGGTTAAAACTAATAAATGAATTTATTAATCTATAGGATACAAAATCAACTTACAAAAACTTAGTACAATTTCTATATGCCACTAATGACCTTGCTGAAAATAAAATTAAGAAAAAAATAGGTTATTGAATACATGGGCACCTCTGCGCCTCCAGCAAAATGTTCTTTTCAAACAAAGTCAGATGCAAAAGCTCAATGAGCAAAGAAAGTCAAATCGGAAAAATGCTTGGAGCTTTCTCTTTTCCACATTTTCATGGCCAACTCCATGTCTCCCCCAGGATATCTAAAATAGAATTTATTATCACTTAATATAAGACACTGCCCCCAAAGTTAAAAGAAAATTTATTTCTTCTTCTTAATCTTCCTCACCTTGGTGACTAGCACCTTCTTTTCCATCCACRAAAGCCAAAAACCCTCCTGAAGATTCATAATACACACAGACACATTAAAGGATCTGAATATACCTGAGTCCAAAAKCCAGGTTAAATTTATATAACTCAGAAATTCCAAAACTCATTTTATGACACATATTCCCCTCTTCCTCCYTACTTTTTAAAGACTGAAAAATACYTTTTGGCTATATTTCATTCAGAATGATTAGTTTATCTCAATTAGCAAATTAGCTCCTTGGATGCATATATCATTCAATATTCAAAAATGCTGAGGCAAAGTGAACTATTCAGGCTGGCTGCCAATCATGTGTGGTAATGAAGCACACAACCCTTGGGTGATGGGCCCCAGGCAGCTACGGAATTGATGCCACATCCATGGGCAACCGCATCTGTCTTCCACCACCATTACCAGCAGAGAGGAAGGAAAGGTTGCCAAGTCCTAACAGAAATCATGCTTTGTCTTCAGTAAAATGTACCAAGTCTGCAGCGGATGATCACCATGTCATTTTATTTAGAGGAATTATAATGTTCACTTGGCTATAACCTTGRAGGATCGTGAGCAGCTCTGCAATCGACAAGGACTTTTTTCCATACATTATCTCCTCTTGTGGATTTATGAGCCAAAAGATATCAAAATACCTGCAACTTCTGGCTTTCCTATAAATTAGTATAGATCCTTGAATATTAGATCCCAAAATGATCTTACCCTACAAAACAAGTATTTTTTTTTAACTGAAATAGTTCTGTGCCCTGTGTTGTTAGCACTAGACTTCCTAAGTGTATGGATACRTGCTGCATCTTTTCTAATTTTGAAAACAAAAACTGTCTAATTAAGCTTTCATGAAATGGAAAAGTTATTTGAACCTGTTCTGGAACTTAAATTGTGCTTTGATCAATAGTCTCTGGGGTTATTTGCTGTCTTTTCATGTCATCTATAGCTTTGATGTAGGAGACGGGGTCCTGTGGGCCTGGACACACTCGCTGACCAGTCTGGCAGCCTCCATAGCAGAACCCCAGTGCACTGAGATGCCCCCACTCCCRTGGCCATAGTGGTGGACCACAGGCAACCTCTGTTCCCCGTGGGCTAGGAGCTCTTTCTGCAGCCGCACACCTGGCCTGACGGGCCTCAAGCCCACCTTCTCCTTTGTGATACAGGCTCTGTGGAGGGAGGGCTCCAGCACACAGCACCGGGAGAAAATATCTCTGCTAATCTGTGCATCTGGGGACAAATTCCAGTCTCCTTTCTGCCTAGTTCCACCCAGGGTTACATGGGAGGCACCAGGGTAAATATATGTCAGCCCACTCCCATCTCGGATAAAATGCTTCACCCAGGGGGCCTGAACTTGGAGCACTTGGCCCCTTACAGGGGAAATCATTGGGTCTCCTGCAAGCTGTCGGCTTCCCAGGCCTGTGCAGTTGACCACGATGTCAAAGGACGGCTGAAGCTCCCACAGGTTTTCCAGGYGTCTGGTGAGTAGCAGGCCTCCGCTTTCTTTTATCCTAGGGAGAAGAGACCATGGAGTGAGCCTCAGCAGCCACCCTGCTCAATCACTTCCAGGAAGTGGACAGAGACACAGGAACAAAAGAGATGTGGTGATCTGATGGACAAACACAACAACTTCAAATTTTARCCATCCACAGCGAGAAGCATTACAYCTTGGAAACCAGGGATTCCCAAGGTTGATTTTCAGTGAAAACCTATTTCAAAGAATGCACCACAGGGTTGGACATGTAGTTTAGTTGGTAGAGTGTTTGCCTGGCATGCACAAGGCCCTGGGTTCAATCCCCAGCACCCCCCCCACACACACACACACACAAAAGCACAACAAAGGAAATGATGTGCCTTGCCATTTTTATATTTTGTAGAGTTCCTGTGTCATTCCAGATGCAAAATAAATACCAAGCTGATCTGGTATTTTATATACCCATTTGTTGTTTATACCATTCATTTAACGCCTAAATTTACTGTCTTTTTTTATTATTAGTTGTTCAAAACATTACATAGTTCTTGACATATTATATCATACATTTGATTCAAGTGGGTTATGAACTCCCATTTTTACCCCGTATACAGATTGCAGAATCACATCRGTTACACATCCACGTTTTTACATATTGCCATACTAGTGTCTTTTGTATTCTGTTGCCTTTCCTATCCTCTACTATCCCCCTTCCCTTCCCTCCCTTCCCCTCCCCTCCCATCTTCTCTCTCTACCCCATCTACTGTAATTCATTTCTCTCCCTTGTTTTTTTTACCCTTTCCCTTCACTTCCTCTTATATGTAATTTTGTATAACAGTGAGGGTCTCCTTCCATTTCCAGGCAATTTCCCTTCTCTCTCCCTTTCCCTCCCACCTCTGGTCCCTGTTTAATGTTAATCTTCTTCTCATGCTCTTCCTCCMTGCTCTGTTCTTAGTTGCTCTCCTTATATCAAAGAAGACATTTGGCATTTGTTTTTTAGGGATTGGCTAGCTTCACTTAGCATAATCTGCTCTAATGCCTAAATTTACTGTCTTAAACATAATATCTCATATTGTTGACCCTTGCATGTCCCTTGATATCAGTCTGTCCTCCTTCATTACATGGTTGGTCCTGGGGTCACATATACTCTCTCCTCCCCACTTTGAGCACAAGAGGGACACAAAATATTTGCAGCTGATGGACTTAATTACAATTGTGGTCAGTAATTTTTTTGAGCAATCATATCAATAATGAAAAGAAATGGTTTATCTAGATTATAATGAYAATTTTTAAATTGTGGTAACATACATAGAACATAAAATTGACYATTTTTAAGTGCATGATTCAGTGGCATTAACCACATGCACCTTGCTGTGCTCCTACCACCACCATCCWTAACAGAACTCTGTTCACTCTGCAGAACAGAAACTCTGTAGCCATTAAGCAATAACTCCCTATAATCTTGTCATCTTAATCTTAATCCCTCATAATCCTATAATCTTATTCATAGGTCACTTGTAGAATATAGAAGATTTAATATAAAAGACTCAGCAGTTCTGTTCAACAGGTTCAGGTTGAATATCTAGAAGCGAGGCAATGCTAAGAGGGACAAAAAGCAGGTGAGGCACGGTGTCCTTCCTCAAGGGCTGACAGTGTAAATAACTGGCAGAAGAAAGTTCTAAACACACACACACGCACACACACACACACACACACACACACACACACCTCTCCACTGGATCTCTTTCACTGGAGAATCCTAACAAGTACAAGGTGATAGGGTACCGCAAAGGCATCCTCTCTCTACAACTGCTAAAATTCCAGCACATTCCAGGGAGAATCTGGAAAGAGATGCCACCAGCAATGAAGGGCTAGTGCTTATTCTCTCCTCCTGCTCCTGAGAGAGCAGAAGTGGCCATGCCGGCATTTCTGCCTTCAAAGTCAGATAAACAGGTTTCATGAGATGGAAAGCATAAGAAAAGACAGAGACTTTCAGAGCACAAAGAAGATGTGGGTGAAACCATGGTGAATCATGGCATCGTTTGGCCACTGGTTTTAACTGAGCCAGAAGGGACTCTTTAAAAGTCTAGTGTTCTGTCCCCACCTCCTGGTTGGAAAGTTCAGCTGAAACTTGTACCTAGATCTGTAGAAAATTGGCCCTCTGACACTGGTTCCCATTTCCAGAAAATGTGGCAAATTGATGAGGGTGGCACATTGCTGCACAAGTGCCCCCACAGACCCTGACCCCAACAGCTCAGCTTCCTAATCTGCAAAACAGCATCTTATCCAGTGGGTTCCAACTTATCTGCAGAGACCCGTCTCCATCCCCTCAGTTCCCACACTCCCTCCCTCACAGAGACCACTGAAGTGTCTCCATGGCAGGTAGGACAAAAGGCTGCCTCTTGCTCTAAGATGATGTGACCCCCGTAGTACACTTCCCATTCAACACAAGTCRTCATCTCCAGCACCAGTGCCCCCAAAAGGCAGAATTTAATTAACTTCTAGTCGCTGGCATTTTTACCCTATGCATCCTCATTTGTTATTCTGAAAAATCTGTGACACAGTATGTCCTTGACCTGAGAAAGCCACCTGAGAAAACTAAAGGAAAGAATCTGGCCAAAACCCACACTTCACAGCCACAGAGAACAAATAAAACCTTTGGTGTGACTAAAGTGGTTAAAAGTGAGAGAATGAGTCCAGGGCTTTGTTTTTAATTTTTTTTTAGTTTTTAGTTTAGTTTTGTATTGTTTTAGTAAAAAAAAAAAAAAAAAAAGAGAGAGAGAGAAAAAAAATCTCATAGATAAAAAGTATTTAATGCAGCAGATTTTATGGGCACAAGTTTTCAGTTATCTCAGTGGAACAGTTTGGGGGCTTCGATTGTTTTTTAAGTGTATAATGAGAGGTGAGTATTTTCAAAGGTGAAGTCACTCTGTAAAGCTTTTCACCTCTAACGCTAGGATAGAAAGAAAAGTAAACTGGGATTTTTGTGACGATACTGAACAACACATTGCCATGTGTTTATAAGTCTTTATAAAGCAGATACCAAGAAAAATCTTTAAGGAAGAGTGTGGAGGAGCTCTACCCTTTAGCTTATCAAATTCTCTAAGCTGTGATCCTTCCTCCATAATGTGGGAATAATAGTACTTCAGAGGCTCATTGTGAAAATTAAATGAGACACCATCTGGTGAAGGTCTGACACAATGCTCAACACATTGCAGTTGTTCAATAAACCATTTTTTATAAGAAAAATAAAGGGCTTAGGGCTTTGTTTTGCCACTGTAAAATATAGGACCTGCTGTGCCATCTTTGAGGATATTGGCCCTTCGCAACTATACAGCATTTAGGTATAATTATGGCATCACATTTAAAAAAAGTTTTATCATTATTTGAATGTTATCTGAATCATCATCTGATCACTTTTTAAATGTTATCTTAGTTTTGCTCTTATTTTAATAGATTATAGGTTCCATGTATTAATGTTTGGACACGATGTTCTGTGCTCCAGTCACCCTGGTTAGAATTCAGAATTATTATCCTAATTTAGGGAAATAAGAGACCTTATCAGTCTTGAGACCGAAGCAAATTTCTTAAGGTCACTGGATTTGTTTCCTTAGCGATAAACTAGGGGTAAGAATACATTGTTCACAGAGTTGTTATGTTATATATAAGAATTCAACAAATGCAAATGTCTTTCTCTTCTATTTCAATAGTCCCCTGCAGGAAGCTGCTGATGAAAGACCAGTCCCTAACTGGAGATTCCCTGTATGGTCAGATGGATGGGCTTTTGGAAGGCCCTGTCAAGCTTTATGTGCGGAGTCCCCTCCTTGTATCTCAGGAAACCTCCTGAATATGTGCAGAGACTGGTCATCTTTACACGGTTGCAATGTGACCACCCAGCAATGACCARTCATAATTACACATCCCACCAGTACATAGGAGGAAACTATCCTTGAAGCTCAATGCTAACTTTGCTGACCAAGATTCTAAAAAGGTGACTTTCATGACCAGGTGAGGTAGCTATTTGATATGACATGGTTGGGGGTATAAGAAACTAGGTGACTTTCCTCTTGGGGTGTCCTGCAACTAAGCAAGATCTTATCCTAGAGAAAGAAGGAATACTATTGTCCCAACCTCCCACAAGGATATAGGAGCTCAGCTTGTTAAATAGCCCCAACCCAATGTCCTCTGGTCTTTACCCTCAAACATAAAAGTGCCCGTTTTTGCCAAGCCTAACAGTCAGCCTCCGGCTGCATAGCATCAGCCTGATCGTGATATGGGAGGTGACAGGCAAGGACTCTTCCCTTCACTCTCTGAAAGTTTCAGAAAARCGGGAGACTGTGTTGGGTGTGGCTGACCACGATGGGTTGGCTCAGTACTTCTACCTCCCTCCCCCGAACCTCCCACCTCCATCCTCTCTGTACTCTTGGAACTAGAGGCAATCCCCACCTCCCACCTTCCATTCCTTGTTCTGATGACAAGGGAACCTGAGGGAGGGGCACTAAGCAGGAGGTGGGGCTCTGCTGAAGAAGCGACCTTGAGGACAGTGGGGACCAGGAGTCACAGCCTAGGCAGAGCTAAACCAGCAGAGACAACACAGTGACCTGCAATGCACAGGCTAGGACCCACTGGCTGAAACTTAGAACCCAATTGCTTTGTAACTAAATGAATAGAAAGTGGACAAAAATTGGTTTTGTCACTTAAAATTTCTGAATGGCTTCTAATTTGGCCAAGGGTAGACATTTTAACTCTACTTTGAGACAGACTGCACCCAATTTTGAGAATATTATCCACATAGGCCTCAGGCTTATGCAAATATAAAGTGAAAACTCCCTCCTTTGGATCTAAGCCCAAGCTGGGGAGAGAAGGTTGCTCCTCTGGAGACCAGAGGCTTGGGAAACTCTGCCACGTGGCTCAGCCCAGGAGGAAGGAAGGTGGCATCATGCCCTTCCCCCGCTGGCCCCCCAGGCTGGCTCACATCCTCCCTTAGAGGTTGAGGGCTCCAGTGATTAGAGAACTGGTGAGGCCCCAGCAGGGCTGCTTGGAGCCAGGGCTTCAGAGCTGGAGAGGGACATTCCTCTCCAATAGCACGTGAAGCCAGCTCCACTCTGACCCCAGGAAGGACTAGCCCCTACCAAGGTGTCTCTAGATCCTCAAGTTAGCTGAAATGAGAAAAAGAGCAAGGTTTCAAGTCACTGTGTGAAGATGGGTGGCAGAGGGGAGGTGAGAACCACTGAGGGACTTGGAAGCCACTGCTGAAGACACAGGAAGATGCAAAGATGGCTGGCACCAGGATCAAGGACCTAGATGGAGGATGGGAAGGGAAGGGCTGACTGTGAATCAGTGACATGTGACAACTGTATTAAATGGAGCCAGGTGGCATGCATGGGACATGTATAATTAGATGTAGTGAATTTTTAAAATTACTCCCTGCTTTCCACCTAAAGAATAACACCTTATGAATAGTGATCAGAAGATTAAAAATGTTAAGTCTATTAGTCCAAAATCAAGAAAACTAATTTAAGATCTCAGTTTGCGAACAATACTATGCATATAGACTTACAGAAGAAACAGACCCTGTTTCTTTAAGGCAACACTTAATGTAGCTATGTTCAACATGACTGACCATAGTTAGAGTTTTAAAATGTATTTTAATTTCCCAGTGCAACTAAATGTGCATGGTGTCATTTTGACCTGACCAGCTTACCTCATCTAATGACCATAGTCCTCACTGGTCCTCTGCTATGACTTCTCCAACAAAATAAATCRTATTTAATTTCACACTTCTCTGAATACACATCCTGGCCTTGTCAACTCTGTACTCATATCAAACACTTCGAAATCCCATTCAGGCACAGAACAGCCTCTAGCGCCTTCAAGGAAGGGAACATGACTGAGACCAGGGCTTTTACAGCCAGGTTGGTCCTGGAGGGGAGTGGCCATGCACCCACCCCCTGGTCCATCTAGCTGGTGAGGCTGTGGGAAGAAATTCACCTCTGTAGCTGCATAGGTTGKGTTAGGTACCTAAGCCCTAGTGGAAGGCCCAAGGGTTACTGCACCTCACACAGCCTCCATCCATTCCCTAGGAACCTCATGACCATCATGAGAAAAAAAAATAAGCATTGTCCTTTTTCCACCTTCTTGCATAATGCCCTCTCACCCCAGCCTTAGCTAATCAGGGACTGCTCCCATCCCACCCTGTGTCTGGGGCCTTTTGCCTCCAGTTCCACTCAGGGATAGTGGGGGAGAGGGGGCAGAGGAGACGGGGAGAAGAGGAAGGAAATCCCTAGGGTGAAAGATKCGTAGGGGCACTGGAATAGGCTGTGCTCTGACCACCTGGTTTATATTGAGCAGGAGGAATGCAGGTGATCTGCACTGAAAGAGACTTTCCCAAGTCAGATGTATAAGACCGGCACAACCTATCTCAGTGCTGATGTACAGTACAGGTACCTACTTCTATAAGCGGTGGAGGAAGTCGCAGGAATCAGGGTGGGTGGGAGAGCACAGGGCACAGAAGAAAAAGATGGGAGACAGAGCATCCTCCCAGAGAGAGGCCTTATCAGAGAGTAGGAGGGAGGTGTGGGGGAGTTCAGCCTGGTCAGTGCTGTGGTCAGCACAGGCCTTGGGAGGCAGCCTGCCAAGTGGCAAGCTCCCAGGAAAGGGCCACCCTGATTTCTGGTTGTCATCAAAGGCAGGATGACTCTGGTCCTTGCAGGATAATTGATTTAGGTCGGCTGCCTAGTGGAAGACTTACTGCTGCTATGATTCATTTCCTGGACACAGCAAGTAAAAAACAGCAGAATTCAATGCCACTGTCCAAAGATATAAAATATGACCTGCATCGGTGACTAAACCTCTGAGGATATTTTGTTTGTTGGTTTGTTCTAGAAATTAAAGGGCCTTGTTTGAGCAGCCGATGATTTCTTCTGTTCTTTGAAAAACACTCAAGATCTAAGTAGTAATAAAATAATATACGTTTTCCTAGGAGCAGATGTAATTTCAGGAGGAAGGTGCTGAGGTAGAAACCATTGCTATAGGACTTGCCAAGTGAAATGCTCATTTTTGAGTCAGAACACTGAAAGCTAAACACTTACATTGTGTGGAAGAGGCGTAGGAGGCAACAAAATACACTCTGAGTGTGAAGAACAGGCAGAGATTGTGAGGCTGCCCATCTGGGTCTGCCCCCGGGAGGCATGTGGGTGGCAGCCCACAGAGTGAGCCCCAGGCACCCACCCCTCACCATCACCTGCCCTGCCTCCCCAGGTTAAAATCCTCACCATAAAATGCTTATCTTGGCCTGAGAGTCCCTTCCCTGCAAAGGCTCCCCTGGGAGCAAATGGGACATGTGGCCTTCTTCCTCCACCATGTTGGCCATCTGGCCAAATGCCAGGCATGTACACATTCCAAAATCCAGAAAAAAAAATCCAAAATTCAAAATGCTTCTGGTCCCCAAAATTTCAGATAAGGGATATTCAACCTGTACACAGACTTGGGAACCAAAAGAACCTATTTTTCACAACAATTAATGTGTCTGTAATGTTCAAAATGAATGAAAAAAGAGATTTATTAATGTATTTTTTTTAAATACATTCTTGATGTATTTTCTAACAAGAAGTCCTGAAAACCAGGCCAAAATGCAAGTTCAAGGTATTAAGGGCTGAACTTAGTCAGTAAGCAATTACATAATTGGATAAACCCTCAATTTTAGAGTTTTTACTCATAACAAAAGAAAATAATGAAGCCTATTTTTTTACTGCAAATGAGAAAAATTCAAAAATAAGTTCTAATAAGCATAAGATATTCTCATCCAAAAAACTAAAGTAAACCATATTCCTTTATAACTGAAAAGTAGTCTCCAAATTTCTCCATTTTACAGCACAGGAAACTAAGATACTACTTCAGTAAAGTGGTTTTACCTGGGAGTCAGAAGGACAGGGGACAAATTGGGCATGAGCATCACAGTGCATGCTGTAACCCCATAAAACACATTAATTACTGTGTGCATGGTGTGAACTTGGTCCTTGTGACTGAAACACAGTCTTCAGACTGTTTTACAAAGCTCCAGACATTGGTGAGTGGCAAGAAACAATGTAAAAGAGTCGGAGAGGGCCCAGAGAATTTCCAATGTGTGTTTGCTGGATAGCTATGAATTTACTTATGGCTGTGACAGAGGAAGGAAGCAATCTTACAAGAGCCATTTCAACCCACCTTTTCTCCAACCAGGAGAGGTAAGCAGAGGTTTCACATTTCAGGGTTGTAAAAGCCTGACCAAACACATGTTGAGGGAATTTCTTCAGCTCGGCCTCTGTCATCTTTCGAAATCCCAGAACCACATCAGCCCAGAATGGCACTTCTTCAGCAGGAATGCTCCGAAATATCTGCCAACTCAAACATAGTAGACAGAAATTTTTCCTGAAATTCTGCAAAATAATTTATTTCCAGTAAACTCTATGTGACATTCTCTAAAGCACTTAAACCATTTTCTTTCTGTAAACACAAAGAGAAAAGATCTATTCTTCCATTCTCTTGGGTTCAGATAACTAAGTAACTAAATTTCAAATGGTCATGGTTGGAAGAATAAAACATTTTAGAAGTAACCTTCTGGGCCAAGAGTTTAACTTAGTGGCAGAGGTCCTGGGTTCAATTCCTAGCACCGCAAATAAATCAACGATAAAAAAATGTCTTTTGAAGACTGAATTTAATTCACTTTTTCTAAAATGCTTTTAAGCCCAGATTTTCTGTCTTCTTATGACCATGATTTTTTGAAGAAAGGTTTTTCTGTTGTGCACAGTGCTTTACATAAATATAGTAAGCAAAATGTCAAAAGTTTCAAGGCTAGCTGTGGTTTTGAAAAAAATATCTGAATTGCAATAATTTGCACCCCTGCTTCTGGCACACTATGAGTGCAAATTATGAGTTAAGTTTTAGGCCATCAAGTTTAGCTCTAGGACTAGAGAGAAATCCGGGTCCTGATTAGGAGTCCTGGTAGGTCACAGAGTGGTTGGGGCTGTTGCTAACAAGAAGCTTGAAATAGTGCTACCAATAGCTGTTGCATATACGTTTACATTTATAAATATCGGGTTGTTTCCATCAGTAAATACAACCATCATTGCTCTAAAATACCAAAGAAATATAAACTTAGAGCTGTTGATGTGGTCCTTTTCCTGTGTCATTCTGTATGCTCCCTCTGGACTGGAAAGAGTCCACAGCTCCACTACCATCTGCAGGCCAAACACTCAGAGGGCTACGCCTCTAATCTTGCTGTCTCTCTCCTGAGCTCCCAAACCACATAGAGACCCATGTTCGTGTTGCTTACTCCTCATTATGTTAATCTACTAGATCTCTCTCTCTCTCTCTCTCTCTCTCTCTCTCTCTCTCTCTCACACACACACACACACACACACACACACACACTCTTTCCCCATTGTTTCCCAACTCAGAAAATGGCACCTATCTACACAGACACTTATGACATTTATGCCAGAAACCCAGAATTATCCTTGATTTTCTTTCTCCCCTCACCCACCACATGCCATTAACCATCAAATCTCACCATATCTCCCAAATTATTCCTAAAATCCATCTACTCTCTGTCCCTGTTATCAAACTTAATCTATCCAACCATCATCTATCTTCCCACAAATCCATTATCCATTCTACAGATAAAATACTTTTTTTGGCACCAGGAATTGAACCAGGAGCACTTAACCACTGAGCCACATCCCATCCCACATCCCCACATCCCCACATCCCCAGCTCTTTTTTTTTTTTTTAGACAGGATCTCACTAAGTTTCTTAGGGTCTCACTAAGTTGTTGAGGCTGGCTGGCTTTGAACTTGCCATCATCCTGCCCCAGCCTCCTGAGCCACTGGTATTACAGGCCTGTACCACCATGCCTGGCCAGATGAAATACTTTGAAATGCAAATATGATCGGTTACTTCAATGTGTAAAATCCCTCAGTGACTCCCCATGGCCCTGGACTTTCTTCAATCCCTCCAACAAACCAGAATTGCCCAGGATTCAGGTCTGTGTGCTGTTCCTCTACCTGGAATATTCTCTGTCTCCCATCTTGTCTCTGCCTCATTCACCTCTAAATATCACCAGACTAACTTAACACTCATCCTGAGGGCCTCAGACAGAACACTTTCTTTTTGCATTATTTCTTATACTTTCCCAGAGACTTGTACTCTTACCTTGCCCACTCAGGTCTCATTTGTAACTCATTATATTTATTATATTCCCTGCTGACCATAAGGGCAGAACTGTATCTGTCTTCCTTAAAAATCTACTTCACACCTATTTATTATGCATCTATGATATGCCAAGAAGAATTACTAAATTGTTCATTACTATGTCCCCGATTCCTAGGAAAGCACTTGGTGATTGCTGAATAAGTCATTTTGAAGGAAAGAATAAAGCTATATACTTATACCAAAGATGCACAGGACATTTGTAAAGTCTTACCCTTGAAAGGACATAAGAATTGTGGGCGTGGCTGTTTCCAAAAAGTACTGAGAGCCAGAGGTCGTGAATTGGGCTGGTTCATATTAGTTTTGGACAAAAATAAAGTAAGACCATAACTCATGAGGCTAATTTTTCTATGCAGTTCATTGACTGGTCCTGGAGATGGAGAAGAAACAATCCATAGCTTGATAGAGAAGCGAAAGCTGCTATTTGCGGTAGGGGCTTTTGGAAAATTAGTAATGTTGACATCATCCTAGGGTTTCTATGGTGAGAGAAGGCAAGAAGAAGAAAAGGATAGAAATCATCCAGATAGAGGAGTCTACACAGGAGAAAATGTCAGCAAGAAACCTGACATAAGAGAGATGGGTAATTTTTTTCAACAGTCATAATGGTACAAAGATGCAAAGGTTTTGAGAATTAGTAAAAGGTCTTAGCCCTTCTGTAAGCTAGGCTTTAGGGCATGAACTGTGTCTGTCCCACAGGACAACACAGACAACATGTCTTCTGTCACACAATGACATCAAGACAAAATAAAAGGGAGAGAATGCTTTGTGACCTTCATTTAGGAGGATATTGAAAGTCATTGTCATATTTACAATGCTTAGTTTGTGTTAGAAATGTTAAATAGGATTCATTTTTAAACTTTCATTTAAGTATGCATGCCTCCTAAAATCAGATATTCAAAATCAAATAAAGGTGTGCTGACTATTTCAGAAATGCTTTTTTCCTTTCCCAAATAGTACTTGGAACTTCAGTGACTGCAAAACTTGCTCCTTTGGAACATCTCATTCTCCAAGGACACCAAGTAAATAAGATGTCCCTCTATATTTTGCTTCTACACACAGTGTCACACTTGTTGGCTTTCCAGCAGCCATACCATCCCCACATAACCCAAATTTGGGGTTACCTGCTATGTAGACTTTCTTGTTTGTTTCTGGTTTGGGGGGCTTGGTTGTTTGGTGTGGGGAGGGCATATTTCCAAATCACTGAATATTCTCTGAGAAAACTCAAAAAAGCTTTTGTAAGGAGAAACTGTTAATAGTCAGTTATGGTTAAAAAAAATCTAATACTATAACTTGTCTTTCTCGCATTCCTTTGAGTGAAGACTAGAATGTTCTTTCTAAATCCTCCCACTCTTTCTAAATCCTCAGCGCTCTGCTCACAGCAAAGATTCGATAAATATTTTATGTTGAACTCTAGTATCTGCCCAGATTATTCTCATTTCTAAAATAACTTCACATTCTTTCTCTTACCCTGACACCAGATGAACACCAGCATCTGCAGCTTCCGCAGAACAGGCAATTGCGTACAGGTGATCAAAGGTGTCTTGAAACCACCGCTTCAGTGTATGGATGGGTGTGTCTGTAGCCATGGAGAAAAGCAATGAGGAACAGAAAAGAAAATGATGATAGCAGCATTGTTCTGATAAGCTCCTTTCTAGAAACTGGGGGAGGGGGAACAGGGAGCCAGGAAGGAGCATTAGTTAAAGTTCCCCATGGTGGTGGAGGACGGGTCAGTGACCAGAGCTTTGGATGCTGACACATGCTATCCAAAACCTGCTCACAGAATGATTAATCATCAGAGGAGGAACAAGCCAATCGGCCAAAGCTCAGACATGAGAGCCAGCTGGAATATACCTTGGGCACAAGGTATATTTCCAAGGTCATTGAAGTGTCCATAGCCAGACTGAGCTGAAATGAGTTAATAGCTGAGGAATCCATCTGGCCAAAGAGTGGAGACAATAGGAGAAAGGACTGAGGCTCTCCTTCCTGGAGGCTAAAAATAAGATGGATAACTGGGCATGTCTGGGGGGCCCAGGTCAACCAGGACAGAAAACAGACTACATGACAATGGAAAGTCCCAAAGGCCTGCCTCATGGAGGTGAGCTCCTCAGGCCAGATTTCTCTGCCAGTTAACCTCCACACCATGGAGTCATGGACCAGCTCAGGTTAGCATTCCCAAGGTCAGCAGGGTGTGGGGGACCACACCATCCCTCCGGCATCCCTGCTAGAGCACAGGAGGTTGCATCTGGGTCCAGCTTCTGGAACAGTGCCAGGCCTATCATAAAAGAAACAAGAGGCATGGTTTGAGGCCCACAAAGACTGTGTCCAGTGTAGGTACAGAGAGCCAGCACAATCCAAAGGACAGAAACCTTAACTGTGGTGGAGTGTCAGGACATTTGATTCCTGTGGAAGAGTCATGAGGGAATGTTCAGGATCAGGCCAGAGACCAGGGAACAGTAATTGCAAGGGGCCACTACCAATAGCCACAGAGGACACGTGGAAACTGAGGCAAACAGAATATTGGGTGGGCTCTGCTTAAAGAAGGATCCCTGGAAATCACAGAAGAGATGGAAAGGCCCTTGGAGACCTCATGCTTCTCAGTAAAAGGTCACGGAGAGCAAATCAGCCACAGGATTTTTAAATAATTCACTTGTTATAGAGCCAATAGATATTTCTTTAATAGTAGATCTACACTGTCTTCATTAAACATGTGCCTATGCCAACTCAACACTGTATTCTAAGATTGTAGGTGAGGGTTGCTGATTTAAAAATAGCAAAGGGGGCTGGGACTGTGGTTCAGTGGTACAGCACTCGCCTAGCATATGTAAGGCACTGAGTTCGAGCCTCAGCACCACATAAAGATAAACAAATAAAGGTATTGTCCATCTACAACTAAAAAATAAATATATTAAAAGAAATAAAAATAGCAAAGAAATAAATGATAAGCTACAGAGAGAGCTATGGGGGACCTTGTTATGGTTTGGATCTTAAATGTCCCCCAAAGGCTCATTTGTGAAATTCTTTGTGGGTGATTGGATCATGGGAGTCCTGACCTCATGAACGGATTAATCCATTTATGGATTCATAGTAATGGGTTTGGTGGGAGAGGCTTTGTTATAAAAGCAAGTTCTCTCTTCTTTCTGCCCTCCATGAGGTGAGCAGCTTTATCATGTGGCTCCCTGCCAAGATACTTTTTGCTTTGTCACAGGCCCAGAGTGATGGGGCCAAGCAACTGAAACCATGACCTAAAATAAAACTTTCCACATTTAAGTTGATTATGTCAGATATTTTTGTCACAGTGATGGAAATCTTACTAACACTGACCTCCGTTGAAGTATCCCCAATGATCTATGTCAATATAGAGGGCTTCTGTTGAAATGAATCTCCCATTCCCATCCCAAACCTTAAAAAACAAAATAGCGACTGAGATTCACATGCTGCAGAAGTTATCCCAAAAGAACAGATAATTCCAAATGAACAGGAGTTAAGCAAATCTGATAATCTGACTCAAATTCAAGTGCTAGTAAAACAAAACTGTAGCTGGAATGGCAGGAATAACAGCAAATGCTGATAGAATCCTGACTGTGGGCCAGACTCTCTTCTGAATGCTTTACCTACACTCACTCATTTCTCATAATAACACTACAGAATAGGTATGGTCCCCATATGGTATTGACATTTACTACTGGGGCTGATGTGAATCATGGGAAGAATCCCAAAGAGAAGATCAAAGTTTTTATGTAGCAACACTAGAGAGAGACCCGAGTGCARATACCCAGACACCCAGCCATGTTATAATAGAAATAAAAAACTCAATAGTAAAGCAAAATTGAGAAAATCTTCTAGAAAATGAGTAAAATAAAAAGAAAGGAACATAGAAACAGGGATGGGGGGAATAAAAGATCTGGAGACCAAGAGCTAGAGGCTCCCTAATAGCAATTCCAAAAAGAGAGGTAAAGTCATCAAAGGGAAGGAAACTAACAACTGAGTAACTCAAAATGTGGACTGAAAAATATGAGCTTCAGGATTAAAAGGACAGGGAGATTTTCATATTCCAAATTGCTGGGTTTTATAATTGTTATGGCTTATGTGTGAGGTGTCCCCCAAACGCTCATGTATAAGACAATGCAAGAAAGTATAGAGGAGAAATGATTGGGTTTTACTACCCTTAATTAATCAAATGATGGAATTGAGTGATAATTGAAGGCAGGTGGGGTGTGGATAGAGGAGGTGGGACTTTGGGGGCATGGCTTTCAGGTATATATTTGTATTTGGCAAGTAGAGATAATCTCTCTCTCTCTCTCTCTCTCTCTCTCTCTCTCTCTCTCTCTCTCTCTCTCTCTCCCCCCCCCCCTCCCTCTCTCTCTCCCTCCTGATCATCATGTGAGCTGCTTCCCTCTGCCCCCTTCTTCCTCCATGTTGCTCTGATTCACATAGAGACCTAAGGAACAGAGCCTGCTGTCCTGGGACCAAGACCTCTGAAACTGTGAGCCCTCAAATGAACTTTTCCTCCTCTACAACTGTTCTTGTCAGGTCTTTGAGTCATAGCCGCAAAAAATCTGACTGAAATAGAAATCAATCTTATATAAACTATTTGACTACTTAAACTATGGGTATGGATAACTTTGATAAAAATATAAAAGGGAAAAAGAGAAGTGAGGAAAAGGAAACTGAGTATGAACCTCATTAGCTGCAAAGGAATTTGGGTTTCTAATGATCATTCCCCACTCCCATTTCACATGAAGAAAACAAAATGGAAAGGAAACATGGACATGTGCAAAAATTAGTGCATCTTCAAGCCTAAATCCATACTGATTGGTTGCTTTTATACTGGCTTAGAAGGTGGGAGAATTTGAGTCCTGTTACTAGTAGATTCTGAAATGCTGGCTATTACTGGTATCAGTGTCAAGACTTAGAGTCATCAATGATGCAGTTTTTAGTGCTGCGCATTTACTTTTGCTCTCCATCTTCTGGGAACCTTGTAGAATTTCATCTCCTGGTCTCCTGCAGAGGGGTGAGGGCATGTGAATAGCTCTGCCAATGAGCTGCCATCAGAACTGAAAGTCACTTCCTGGCTAGTGTTTGATCACAGAGGTAAGACCCTCTGGAGCTCTCTTGCCCCCAAGTCCTAGGACAATCAGAGTGACGCCTAGGTTATCAGTTTAGGTCCCTGGGATAAACTGAATCCTTACTGAGGCTCAATGGAGGTTCAGTGTGAGCTGCTGATATTCAGAGATTGTTTGGTTCTGCCCATAACTGAGCCCTTCTCAACAGATGAACATATAGGACATTAAAATTGCACATGACRCTGACACACGCAGCTAGCCTTCTTGGTGAACAGAATTCCATTAACCTCCTTCATATCTGAAAGAGGAGCTCAAGTCCCTCTCTCACCTGGATAAATATGAGGAATAAGCATCCCGGCCGCCACATCACTGGTGGTATCTGGAGTAAATTTGTCTGAGATGATGGTGATGGARCATCCAGGAACCAGTTTGGAAATGCACACGGCAGTGGAAAGCCCTATCACACCTGCTCCAACGACTGCAATCCGTGCTGTGTCCATGGGCCTGTGAGGAGGGAAATGTGGGCTGCACACCTATTTGGTAGATTATTCTCTCTAGATGAAGTTTGATCCTAGGTTCTTTCCCGAGTTCAGTAGTCTCTCAGAATAAGACCAATAAACACAATATATTGTGTTTCTTGTGGGATAAAGTGAAAATACTTGTAAACTCTCTTTCTATTAAATAATGGGGTCTGGACAACAAGGTCTCCTTGGGCATTCAGATACTAGTGTAAAATCAACCTGGGCTAGCCTTTAGCACACACCAACAGTAAATTAGGCTGTGTCTTGGGGGAAATTTCTGCTCATTCTGCCCTTTCGTGAACCATGGTCCCCTATGGGGAAGACCAGGAACGGTTGGTGAGGTCAGCGAGGCAAGAAAAGCAACAGGGCTTCAGTCTTTGTTCCTGAATCCCATCTCATCCCCAGGAGCAGTCATGAAAGGGCAAGACTCCAAAGCAATTTAGAACTTAACGTCTGTTCTTTGCAGATATGTTTTGAACAAAAACAACATTGCAGGGAGTTTGAGCACTGAGCTCATTACTTCCTCTCCCATCTTCATTTCTCCTAGAAGCCCACCCTCCCTCGCCCTTCACTGCCAGTGTCCTGCCTACTCCCTACTCCAGCTTGGCCCTCGCCCCTGGGCCTGAACCACCTCCTTGGACAATATGCTTTCAAGATAAGGGGACCTGGGTTCCTGTCTGGACTTGGTCCTGGGCTGGTCCTAGAACCCGGGTAGTGGCCTCAACTCCCTTATCTATAAAATAGATCAAATTCTCATTGGTTCCCTCAGGTGTTGAATAAGAGAGGCCCACCAAGGCTGTCTTCCAAAGGGGCTTTTGGGAGGATGCGCATGGAAACACAGGAGGCCCACATCCCACAGCCTGAGCTGGGCATCCTGAAGCTGGAGCTAAGAGTGGCTGAGGGTCCAGCGCTTTCTCACCCCTGGCTCTGGGCAGCAGGATCCCATAGCACCATGCTCCCCTATCAGCCTCCCTGTCCACCCTGGCTTCCCTGTTCTTCTAGCCACGTCTGCTCCTGCTGTCTAACTCTCTATGTCAGGCTCAAGTTCAAACTCCAGAAAGAGAAAAAAAACAATTGTTCCAGTTGATCATTGCCACCCCTGTTGGCAACGTTCTGGCACCCAGCAAGCTGATCAGGCTAAATCAGGCTAAATTTTCCCTTGACATAATCACTTTTCTCGTCCAAAGAGAAATGGCCAGGGTATCCGTCACATGGCTACCTCAGATAGAGGTTCACCTTTGCTCAGGAGGGGCTGTGGGCAGAGCAATCTTTGTGGGACCCTGCTGTCAGTGGTCTCGCTGAATTTCCTGGCTCTGAAGGTTTTTCACACTATGACCCTTTAAAGCCCTCCAGTGAGGTTAATTTAAAGTCAGTGAGGTTAATTGTGTGTCTACACATGTCCAAGGTCATCAGTCAACTTCATGTGTGGGCTGTCCAAGAAGGAGCAGTACTGCTAGGAACGACAGAGGCAGTGCAGTAGGAAAGGCTGAGGAATGTAGCCCTGTGCACGTCGCCCGGCCTGGAGAAAGAAGGCAGTCGCCAATGCCCTTACTAGCTTTGCTATTTCACACTGGCACCCCCTATCCAGCAACTTTCTCAAAATAGCTCCAACAAATTAAGAGGGAAAAGTCATCAGTGGCTAAGGATAACCAGCTGTCAGAGGGAAGAGGAGTGAGCCAGCAAGATAGAGCATGTCCTGGTATARTCACCTTTCAATCCCTGTCCCCTGACCTCCGCTAAGACGCAGCCCCAAATTCCCAGGGTGTGGACAGAACCGACCCCTGAGCCAGAAGCAGGAAGATTCAAGTACCTGTCTCTGAAAAGCAGCCTTTCAGCCCACTGAAGGCTCTGACACCAAAACTTGTTTTCCAGTGACTGCTTGGTCTAGTGCCCTGAGACACTCAGGGAAAGCAAAACTGCTTCTCATTGGGGAATTATTAAGGACATTCCTTCTAATCTTACTTGCCATTGGTCCATGTAACTGTGTGTCACTGATTCCCCACCCAGGAGAAATGAGCAGGTGACCTCATCTTGCAAGCTCTGCAGAGCTGGATCTCTGCCAAGACCCCAGGGGGATGGTGCGCCCTCAGCCGCCCTCCCTGTTTGGTTCACAAGCTCTCCGTCTCACTGCCAGCCTGAGATTTTGCCAAATGACTGATGTGTGCGGTAAATAACGGTGGCTGTGCAGCCTCCAGCAAGTTCCAGCCAGAAGCAAACACCCGTTATCTCACTGGGCTGCCCAGAGGTAGCCGCTGTCTCCCAAGGGGTGCCTGGCTCCGCTAGTCAGCCGTGGAGGGTGATGGGAGAAGGGGGTGAGGGGAGCACCATCTTAGTGTGATCACTAAGATGCCAGACAACCGGTGGCAGCTAGAAAACTGATTCCGAAAAGCATATTGGACAGAACTCAAATATTTAAAGAAGGGAGCCAGTGTACACTGTGTGCTAGGCACTGGGAACTCTGCATTCAGGTTTATTTCCAGGGAGGCAATTTAATGAATCAAAAATTGGATAATAATGTTTTAACTAATATAGATTATTAAGTATTAGCCTTACACTAGACAATATATAAAATAACTTCCTGTGCAGTAGGAACTATTATTACTCTCCCCACTCCACAGACAAGTATATTGAGGGTCCAAGACAAAAAGAAAGGGCCCAGGGTCTCTTAGGTAGTAAATTCCATTCCAAGTATCAGATTCCAAGGTCCAAGCTCTTCATCAGTGCATGCACTTTGGTGTCAGGAATCCTGTCTGTCTTACCTTAAATGAGCCACCTAATTTAAGAATTTGTTTTCCCCTCTGATAATTGGAATTGAACTAAGATTTCCCTTGCAAGAGCATCTGATGAGTTAAGCTATGTAAAATTCTTTATAAGATGATCTTAAAGATAGAGGGGGAAAACTGTTTATCTTCTTTCACTCTCAATACTTTCACACAGTCACTCAATACAGAACATTGCTGTGATCAGATGTGTCGGGTGGTTTCTCCACACACCATGCAATCAATTCTGCAGATTCTCCAGCAGACACCAGCTGGGTTGTTCCCTAATTCAATTCAATTCAATTTGGATACTTTCTACCTGGAGATAGCCTCAGATTTCACAGGTTGAGGGCTCAGTCCCCAGGACAAGCCCCCCATCACACACACACACACACACACACACACACACACACACACACTTCAGATGCCAATTGCAAATTTCAAGGGTTGCCCTATGACCCTCTGACCATTTATTAGGGTTCCCACAATGCCCTCCTCAAGTTCAAATAATTTGCTCGAGATGTTCAAAGACTCAGCACTATTTGTGTTGACTAGTTCATTACAAAGAATGCAGATGAACAGCCAGGTGGTAGAGATACATGGGGAAAGGTTCACAGAGTCTCTTGGCACAGCATCCTCCAGGAACCCATGTGTTCAGCTACCTAGAAACTTCACCACACTGTCCTTTTGGGGTCTTATGAAGGCTTCTTTACTTAGGCATGGTTGATCACCATTCATGGATAACCATTGGCTATCAGCTCAACCTTTGGCCCCTCTCCCCTCTGTGGAGGTTGAGGGTTGGGGCTTAAAGGGTAGACCCCTAACATGTGTTGGTCTTTTCTGTAACCAGCCCCCAACCTAAAGCTACCTAGGCACCTTTGTCCACCTATCAGCTCATTAGCATACAAAAGACACTCTTATCACTGCAGGGATTGCAAGGGTTTTAGGATCTGTGTGTCTAGGATAAAGACCAAATATATATTTCACAATATCACAGGCAGAGTCCTTATTTTATTGAGCACTACTACAAAATCAATCAAGAAAATATACAGAGCAGTCCCTCGGCCCAAGGCACACTTCAAGAGCTGTTAGAGATTTAGGGTTTTCTAAGATGGTATTTTCTCCCTCCAGTACAAGGCAGAGCGAGACAGCCCTCTAATTAATAGCTGAGCTGTGCTCTCACAAGGGACAGGAGCCATCCAGGGGGGAGGATGGGAAGTTGGAAGGTCCCAAAGAATTAGTGGCTTGGAGGGACAAAGAAGAGGAGGGAGAAAGATCTCCTGTTACGTCTGAGGGTATTCATTCAGCAAAGAATTGAAGAACAGGACACAGAGATAGCAAGCAAAATATAGATTTATTGCAAAGGCAACAGAGATACAGAGAGAGGCTTCTAAGAGAAGGGGCCCCAAAGCTGGGAATCAAATGGGGAGATTTTGGCGTGTTCTTTTTATGGTCTCTGGAATGTCTTCTTCTCCTTATCTCTTCCCCTGTCCACACACTCCTCACTATTCTTGATGGGTGCCCGCTCTGTCCACACATTTTTTAGTTTTTCTATTGGATCCCCCACTTAGGAACGTGAGTACGGAAGTGTCTGTCTGATTGGGTCTCCCATGTGGGTCCAGGAGCACTTTCATCAAGTAGGAAGTTGACCTCATAAGAAGACCCTCTCTATGCTTCTTTGTTCTGGCCTTGCCCCTGACCCCCTCAATGGCCATCCTGCCCTGGTTGCCTAAGCTGCCTCACTCCAGAGGGGGGATAGTGTGAAGAAATCCACAGGCCAGAAGAACAAAGTAAGCTGAGGAAAGGGTGGGAGGCACCCAGGGAGGTGTGTGCAGGGGCAGTGTGTGGAAGTGCGGGCACCCTGGCCAGGATGGAGGACTGCATTTGGAAAGGAGTGGGAGCCATGGAAGATAACTAGAGGGTCCCGCCTTCCTCCTGCAGGTCAGTGCTCTACTTTCCTCTTAAAAGCAAGAAAAGGAGGAACCATTTAGTTAGAAATGAAAACCAGAAAGAAAGTGGTATAAGACTAATGGGTCTTCTATTTTTGTTCATCACTACAGAGCAGTAGCAATGTAACTTGAATGGCAGGTCATTCAGTAAACTGACGGGGGAACCAACTTAAGTATCATTGAGGATAAGAGCTATAAAAGGGACTTTAGAGGCTATACAGAGGGATCTAATTTTTTTTTTTTTATAAGTGAGTGGCTGAGGTCCAAAGAGTTGAAATATTCTGCTTGAAACTGCAGGGGAGCTCAGCTTTGTATTTTTCTCCAACACTTTTTCAGAAGATTTTTGACCTTGGCCTGCAGAGACCCCCAAAGCTTCACCCCTGCAGTGTAGGTAGGGCCTCCCACCTGCCCAACCTCTTCTCTGCTCCCCAGGAGTGTTAATGTGGTGTGTAGACCTTCCCAATATGTCCATTGCCAGTGAATGAAAGGTCTCCAACCAATGGGACTTGTACTCTTCAGAAAGCTATTGAAGAAGCAAGGTTCAGGGACCCTGCCTCAGAAATAGGTTGGGGAGGAATTTGGGAAGAGGCAGAAAAGGAGTGAGCTAAGGACATCTTACACGGATATGTTGGCTAGTAGCCCTTATTCCAGACTCAGAAGTAAAGGGCAGAGCCTATCATTGAACTCTTTCCTCCTTGTGAACTAAGACTTTCAGGACTTACTTATTGGGACATCCATGAAAACCTCTAGGATTGGTACCTGTCAGGGTGGATGAGCTCAGAGAGAGGAGGAAATGAGTGTTAACAACTAATTGACTCAGATACCTAGACATTCCCTGTAAAATAGTGTTGCATTGTGGATTTTGGAGATAAAAATAACAGCCATTACTTGATTACTGGCAAATTCAAATAAGACAACAAACACCCACAATTCCCAGACACTCCACTGAGGGAAGTTTGCAAAGACTTTGGCTTCCATTTGTAATCTTATATAAGAAAATATATCTCTTTGCCATATATAAGAATTTATTAAGTATACCTTGACATACATCATTTTACAGAATGAACCTTTTGCCTTTAGTATGCTCTTTGATAGGAACAACAACAACAACAACAAAAAAAACAGGTAACCCTCTCCAAACTCTTCATTGAATTGAACGTAATCTGAGCATATATTGAATATGAACAGTATGCCTTTTTAACAGTTATTCAGGGAAGCAAAGTCAGCATTTGTGAGATATGACATTTATACAGTTTCAAAAGCCCTCTTTAAAAATATATACATATTTAGAATCAAGAAAAGGAAAAAATGCCTAAAGCCAGTTGGATGCCATCTGAGAGGTGGGGAAATGTGATAGAAAAAAAAGAGAGATGGGCAAAGACAGTGGTCTTAGCTGATTGCAATGAATATGTCTTACTTTTGTAAAATTTTATAAAAACTTATGCCCAAATGAACCCACTACTAAGGTCCCTTATAAGAACTGAAGTTAATGCTTCATTAGCCTCATGGTTAGTCTTCCCTGCAGCTTTCATGGGCCCAAAGTAACCATCAGTGCATATATAAATTGCAAAGTCCACAAAGGAGGAATCAATGTACATAAAGGGCAAAGTCAATGCAGGAGAGTGACTGTATGATGGAACTCTGAGCAGAGTAGACTCCAAATGCTCATTGGCCAAGATCAAGACTAGACAGAGGACACCTATCATACTCTCACTGATAAGGTGGTGGAATAGTGTACAGAGTTTGGAGAATATCTGCTCTGTGCAGAGGCATGTAGTGATGTAGATATGTTATTTCATGTAATCTTCACATAAAAGACATTTTATTAGGATCCTGAATTTTCAAATAAAAAGACTAGAGGTAAAGAGAGGTTGATTTACTTTTGTAGAGGATTAAAGGGAGACTTTTTAAATCCCAGGCCTTCACTGCTTCACATACTTCACTGCTTGTCAAGGTCAAGTTAGTTAACTTCAGTTAAATAGGTCTGAGTAACAAGGTTGTCAACCTGAAGTTTATCTACTTTTTGTGGTCTAGTCTCTGAAATTTCCAATGCTGGAGCAAAGTACTCCTTGAAATATTTACAGAGACACACCTGATATGCTATGGCTAAGTTCCAGCTATTACAGATTATAGCATCACTATTTTCCAAGTATAAAGTCAAAAGGCTGCACAATCTAAGAAATGCTCTAG